CTTTTTTGCCAGGTTTTCAGACATTTAGCCATCTTAACACCATTTTCGTAAGAATTATTGAAAAGCTCATTTAGTTATTCAGCTAAAAAGAGAACGAGTTAAAATTGTTTTGCATCAGACCCAATGTCTTCCCAAACGAGCAATGGTGAGAGGAAAAGATCATTCAGGCCTTCAGGAATGGTACCAATATTCATACTCTGGCTTCCATCTCCAAAGTGCATTCAAAACGATCAAGTGAACGGTGAAAATAAGTTTAAAAAAGGAGGAACAATAGAGAGGAAATCTGGATCAGGAGGTTTCAACATGAAATGGGATCATCATATCGACTTAGAGCTAAAGAGATCAATTCGAAAAGATCCATCTCAATCCATAAGACGTTTGTCACGCGTGGGAGGAGTTTCAAAAAGTAGCGAAAAAAATTTGAAAATGAAATTGTACGTGAAACTTGTGAGGCACCTTGCTACAACAGGATAGAAAGTTAGAAGGTTAGAGAGGGTGAGGATTATCGTGAAAATGATTCTGGAATGATATATATATATATATTTGAACTTTATTTCAATCTTTCATGAACTTCCGATCCTGAGATATTAATGATGAACATTTCATTTTCTTTATGAACGATAGCATCACGATTCTTCTGTTAAGCTTCCGGAGTAATTATACATTCTTATTGCTCAAAGTAGAGTCCAATAGTGTTATAAAAAACTTGGAGAATTCCAGTAAGATATCTTTAATCATTTCTAAGGTAGAACGGTTCAAAGCTTAATCTAAAAAATGGACAATTTTACTTTTACATGATTTGGACAATTTTACTGACACACACACACACACACACACACACACACACACACACACACACACACACACACATATATATATATATATATATATATATATATATATATATATATAATTGTTTCACCCCAAATTAGGCAATAAGGCCTCTAAGACGTAAAAGAGTTAAAGAATCTGATAAAATTCATTATTAATGAGAGAAAACAATAAAAACACAAGAATTAAGTAGATGGAACACGACTAACATTGCATTTAATTTTTTAAGATCAAAGTTGATTGGAAATAAACAAGACAGTTGAGAATTCCACTAGCGTGAAATGATGGAGAAGAAACTATTGACCTAGAACTTATAGAAGCAATAACGTTGGTTTTGTTATATATATATATATATATATATATATATATATATATATATATATAACTGTATGTACACCCTAAGTCAAACAGCCCTCCATGTATAATTAAGCATATACCCACATCAATAGAGAAAAGAATCAACATGAACTCCGCTAATAAGGAAATATTCCAACAACACAGTAACTTTTATAACACATTCCTAAAAATAGTGGATACAAAAACGCTAAGATAAATTATCGAAACTATAGTACTAACCAGAAGAAAAACAGGAAAAGAAAAATCATCTGGTATACCCCTCCGTTCAACCAAATGGATAGTATTAATCTAGGACATAAGTTCCTAGCTTTAAGTGAAAAAACACTTTCCTACTAATAACAGACTTAGCAAGATCATTAATAAAAACACCTTAAAATTAATTATAGTTGCACTGAAAATCTAGAAAGAATCATAAAAAAAACATAATAATTAAATCAGGGAAAAACATACATGACAAAACAGTATTAATAAAAATCCTAAACTAAAATTAGACAATTATGTGATTGTAGAAACCCTGAAGACTGCCCGTTGGAAAATAAATGCCGCACAAAATCTGTGGTATACCAATGCACTATCTCATCCATTGAGAGTTCTAACACTGAAAGGATATACATTGGTTCAACGAAGAATGAATTAAAAATTAGATGGAGACAACACAAAAGCTCCTTCAATAATATTAGAAATAGAGATCAGACATCTCTCTCCAAATATTTTTGGCATTTAAAAGAAATGAATAAAACTCCAAAAGTAAAATATAAAATAATAAATAGAACAAGAACTTGTAAAACCTGGAATGACCCATGCCCTTTATGCCTACATAAAAAACTAAACATTATCAAGTTTCTTAATAATTAAAATTTATTAAACCATAGACATGAGTTAACGGTTTTTTGCCGACATCAAGAAATTTTCTCATTAAATAATTAGCATAAAAAATTAAATTTCACAGTCTAATAAAAGGCATAAAAGCTTAACCCAATCATAAGATAGAAAAACCCGTTACGAAGTCGTCAAAAAACAAAACAAAAAACAAATTTTAGTTTAGTGCGACGCCTTTAGGTAATAAATAAATAAATAGATAAAATAAAATAAAACAAAATTCTCTAGACACTTAACGGCATATTATGGTGCCAAAAGCTATCTTTCGCTGTGACTGACCAGACGATATGCGTACATGAATGCCATCATTCACTTTGAAATGGACACCCGACCCTACCTCGGCTTGACCTCTTTCCGAAGGTGACTGATATGTGGATAAAAATTAACTCTTGGGCCCCTTATCAAAATGGTCGCCACAGCCGTTTCCATAGTAATTAATTTTACGAATGAACATGCTTATAAAGATGCGTAAATTTCAAGATTGGTTATTCGTAAATTTTCGCTTGTGGATGAAAGAGGGCTTGATTCAATTTAATTTTAATAATTATATTGAGGTATTCGGCTCTCTTGTGTAGCGAAGGAATCATATTTCCTAAAAATTAATTATAATTTAAGCTCTACTTCTGTATGGAACAGTGTTTATTTTTTTAAATAAAAACAAAAATACTAAAGAACACCGGATTATTTACCTAACGTGTTCTTTCCTATTTTTCTACATATCTGCATATATATATATATATATATTGTCTATTTAGGCATCAATCCTTCATTTATGCATGTTTCACTAAAAACGACAGACAATGAACTAGTATTAAGCTTTTTATTTAATTTTACTTGTGTTCGAACAAGTGTTTTCCTTTTTGGACACAGAGTGTGTAGAAACTGTCCAGATGTTCTATACTTTCGAGCACTTTCGGTTATACTTTTAGTCATTATCAAGGATGATTTTATTTTTTCAGGTTAACTGAGTGTGTGCGTTGTGTGAATGGTTTTAGTGTTATATAGATGTTTTATTTTCCGAACACATTTTGCACATTGTCGCTGTGTTCAGAGTTAATATTGTCAAGTGTTGGCTTTTCCTTTATTATTAGGGGTTCCATTATTTTTAATCATTTTGCAGCTAGATGAAGTTATTTTATTTGTGTTTTCTACTAGTATGTTTCGACTGGAGTCTGGTAAATGTGTGTATGTGTTTAAATGGGTTCTA